CTCAGGACTAAATACAACCCTGCAAGGATTGGCAAATGGTAGATCCTATCTGGCAAAGCATTGCGTGAGTTGTTTGACAGATAGGGATCTACCTTATGGCCATCCATGCGATGGGGGACCCAGAAAAATTCTTGCACCAGGGCACTCTCTTCTTTTGTTCCGCTTTTGCATGGATGTTAAGCAGAAAAAAATAGCTGTTATTGAGTTCTTGACCAAAGAAGGATGCACTGCCACCGACATCCACCAACGGTTTAGAAATGTGTACAGTGAGGCAACAATTGATGTGAGCATTGAGCAAAGATTGGTTAAAAAAAAAAATCACGAAGGGGAAACCAGCTTTGAAGACAAACCACTTAGTGGAAGGGCATCGACTGTAGTCACAGATGAAAACCAAAACAGTGAGGACAAATTAGTTCACGCCAACTGGTGCATCACTGTTGAACATGGTACAACAATGAACAGCGACCACTACATTGCATCACTCAAGAAAAGTCCACAGAAACAGCTGAATGCCAATCTCACACCTCAGATTACCACTTGTTTGGTCAAATGAAGGAAAGTATTTGGGAATGTAGCTTCAATGATACAGGCAAAGTAGAAGATACTATCAAATGTTGGGTGAGGAAATTGACTTTTTCCAAAATGACTGACAAGTGAGCTTGATGGTGGTGCAAATGCATCACCACTAGACAAGACTATTTTGAATATTACCATGCTGTGGATAAACAGCAACTTTAAACATGTATGTAGTTGTACATGTCTCATGTTGGTAATAAAGTACTTATTAATATACTGCTTGTCAGAATAAAGAAATTATATGTGTGCAGGTAACCATAGTAGATTTAATCTCAAAACAATCCAGGTTTTGTCAGTATCCCTGTAGGATCAGAGGTGGGATATGCCTACATCACAGCCCCCAGCATCATTCACAGGACACTGGTGGGTATAGAAAAAGGGTGACGTGGGTGGTGAGGTAGGCCCACTCAAAATGGGTACAAGTCCACCCATAAGTAAGCCAGGCTTCCTGCCCACCCCACTGGCCAGTCCACTAAGTCAGAAAATGCAGGGAGCACCGTTTCAGTACCCTTAGTGTAACACGAGTGTGTCTAATGGTGCACTTTTTAGGGGACATCAGGGAACAAACCTAAGGTGGCGGATAGGTCCCTAAAATTGAGACACAACCCAAAAACTGGGACGTCCCAGCCAAAATCAAGATGATTAGGAGGCCTGCCAAAATCCTGAGCTGTTGGTGTGCCTTAAGGACCAGGTCAGGAAAGCACAGTTTAACACTTTCCAGCAATATAGAGGGTATATGTCAGGGTAAGGCTTTCTTCTCTTGGAGAATCAGAATAATGCGGAATTGGGGGCACACTCAAATTGTATTTCTTAGTAATAATGCAGCTGTAAAGATCAAAACATATGTAAAATAATGTTTAAGGGAGGAGCACACATAAAAACAATATATTTGAGGAGAGTATCTAGAAGCAGTTTAAGCAATTGCAGCCAGCTAGAAGTTTAATTCCCATATTAAAATTAGCCTAGGACCCACCAATATTTGGTAACGTAACAAGGTGTGGCCATATGGTGTAACCAAATTCCCATATTTCTTTGCTGAATTTAAGAAGCTGTGTAAGATTTAAAACTATATCTTTGTGTTTCCTGTTCCTTTAATCTATATTTTACCACTATTAAGATGTGCATGTTCTGGGTGTGCCCCTCAATTCCCCATTTTTGTCTCTGGCGGAGTCCGCAATATGTTCCTTTCAGAAATGGTTCAGTGAGAATTCCCTTAAAAATGTGCAACAGTATATCCATACTTTTCATCAGAAAGAGTGATTTGCAGATAATGATGGTTTAACGACTGCTTTATTGGAGAATCCTGTGACCTGGGTTGTGCAATCACTTGCCTATTAAAGAGGAAATCCAGCAAAATGTATTATTGTAACCTTTCCCAAGAGAGTCCTAAAGAGTGTGGCAGCACCGTCATCAAGGAGAGAGTCCTATAGGTTGTTTCAATGTAAATTTTCCCTGGATTTAACACAGAATTCTGCAGAGCGCTATAAGGATGACTTAAACCTTTATTTGTTTGTATGAAAGTCTGCAAAATGTTGCAAATTAAACTCAAAAAGAATATACACATGAGTTTGTTTTAAATGCCAACCATTAAGAAATGTTGCTAATTTCTTCTAATGGCAGCAACGTTATAGTGCTGTTATTTATCATGACGGCAATATGGAATGTGTTTGGGAGAGGATAAGAAAAGGTTACGTTATGAGGGATTAGAGCAGGCTTCCCCAAACTGCTGCCCTCCAGATATTTCTGAAATACAACTGATGATTCTCAGCCTATTTTATTCATATAATCATGGGAGTTTGGGGAAGCCTGGATTAGAGGGTTTTTTGTGCTACAGGATTTTGGATTGGAATGAGAATCATGGGAGTTACAATCCATAGCATCTTGGAGGGAGTTAATCTGTATCACTAGGCCCCCAATCTTATGTCTATCCTAATTATAAGATAAGGCTAGGAACTAATGAAAGTATTTAGAAAATTGGGCAGACTAGATGGGCCGAATGGTTCTTATCTGTCGTCACATTCTATGTTTCTATGTTCTATCTGATTTTAAACACTCCCATAATTCCTAGTTTCCCTACACTTACTGCATGGGGAACATTGCAATAACCAGGATCATTGCGGTACCAGGTACAGGAGGGAATCTGGTGCTTCAATGACAATAATCATTATTAACAGTGCTTTAATGCAGTGATATTAAAGCATCACTATAATGTGCATGTCAACAAGTGAATCTACCACATATCTCTGGGACCCAAGAAGAATGGTCAGATTCTTTTTGTGAGAAATTAAGCTGTTTAGTAAACTTCAAATTGAAGAGTTAAATCGAAGAGAATTTGACAAAGGCATCACACATTTTAGATCAAAATATCTAACTAGGATTTTATTATATTTAAAAATAATTTAATTATTTGTTTTGGCTAAAATGCAAGAGTTCATGACAGGATGAATGAAACAGTAGAGGTATTTTATCCTAATGATATCCAATACTCTCAGTGTAATTAGCATTATAGAAAAAATAACCGTTAGAGGGTTAATTATGATTCTCCGTTTTGACCCTGTATGTCAGAGAAGTCCTGACAAATCTGGATTATAATATCTTCCCTGAGGAATAAAAAAAAAACCTTTATGGAGTACCTATCTCTGGTATGGAGCTGGATTTCTGTAAAATATTACTGTAGCTCAATAATTCTCTCAGGGTTAAACACCCATCAGTCGCTTTAGAAAACTAGCTAAAAAAATATTTTAATAACCCTAAACATGTCACTTTTATCTTCCCACGCTCCCACACGGGAAGGAGAGCGTCACTCATTCTCTGCGGCGCACTGTCTTTTATCTGAGATGTTAAGAGCTCAGGGGGAGATGGGGGAGCGAAGGGGGGCAGGCCCTGAAATGAATGGAGGAGATGACTGAGGGAGAAAGAAAAAAAGCAGAGACACAAGGAAGGAGAGAGAGGAGTGAACAGAACTAGGAAGAGATTAAAAGAAAGGGAGGAAAGAGGAGAATGTATAGAGATTGCAGAGACATAGTGAGTGAGTTGAGAGAGAGAATACAGTAAAACAGAAAGAATTGTGTTATGTTTTCCCAACTACTGTATTGCAGAAGGTCAAAGATGGCTGTTCGCTCTCACCGGAAAGAAGGAAATGCACTACTGAAAACTGTTAAGTTACTAGACAGTCACTCTTTTATGTTCTATTAAAACAATATGGTTGCAACAGCAAAGTGGTTAAATATTACAGTATCATGCAGACAGACATAACCCTGTTATTTTTGTTGTGCATGTTTTTATATTTAGTGATTATTTTGTTTTATTATTTTCAATGTATATATTTCCATGTCTTTGTAACTACAGCCGGTGCTAACCATAGCAATCTTTGCATATCCCTGGAACATTGCTTATTTTATCACTTTTGTCTTGTCCATTATGTTAAAAGTTAATTTAGCCAGTTCAGGCCCATATATCTTTCTTGTTATTTGTTTAATGGTTTTATTTCCCCTACATGAATACCTCTGTCTTATCTCTGTAATTTTCAATCTTCCTCTTTGTGTTTGCTTAAAAGACCTTAAAAGAGCACTATATGGTCAGGAATACAAACATGTATTCCTGACCCTATAGTGTTAAAACCACTATCTAGCCTCCTTGGCCTCACTAATGATAGTAATCTTACTTGTATTCAAGTCTGAAGCTGCTGCCTCTGCCTGTAAACTTCCTCTGACATCATCAGAAGTGGTGGCCTGATCCAATTACAATGCTTCCCTATAAGAAAATTATAATGTATCCCATTCACTATATGGCCAAACAAAAATTATGTCCAAATTCCTATTCCTTATATTACTTACCTTTGCAAATTATGTGAAGTCCAACACTGTGAAGTCCAAAAAGGAATCTCTTTTGTGCACTGCAACATCCGTAGCTTACTATTCTATACCATATACTGGATGCACTGCAAGCCTGGTGTTCCCATTACAAATAAAAAAAAAATTGTGCTCTCAGAATAATGTTTAATGACTAAAATACCAAACTCCGCCATTGCAAAACAGGGTTATTCATGTTTTAGAAACAACAGAGCAAAGAGAGGAGGAGGTATTGTTATTTATGCTGACAAGTCAGAGTAGGAAGCAGCGGTGGAGGAGGAGGATGAGGTAGCCAACACTGTATTTTATGTTTTTTGTTTTTTTTAATTGTGGTAGCCCACAAAATATTGGGACATACAAATAAAGAAACATTTGCAGCCTACGGTGCATTTCTTGCAGTCCTGATGCATGTAGCAATGCTCAACTCCTGATGCATGGAGAAATGGCCTTCACAAGCCTCTGCTAATGTGTACCTAGTTTTTACTGTGACCCATAGGTTGAGGACGCGGTGACCGTGGCAGTGGAGGAGGAGGATGACGTAGCCATATATATTTTAATTGGGGTAGCCCCCAAAATATTGGGACATATAAAAAAAGACAACTCTGTTCCGCAGAGTAGCTGTTGACATTATAGTTGCGCAGGAACTTTGTTGACTCTAGAGAACCTCGGGCAAATCACGCATCCCGTGGCGGCGACTTTGCATGCAGATGTCATCCATATCAACTTTCGATGCCAGTTTCTGCGCCTACCATGATGACCATGGGTAATGGGGAATCAGGATTCCATTCCGTACAGGGACCCTGAGAAACGGCTACCACATGCAAGGAAGGCAGCAGTCGCGCAAATGACCCACTCCCGACGCGGGAAGGTAGTGACGATAAATAACAATACAGGACTCTTTGGAGTCCCTGTAATTGTAATGAGTCCACTTGAAATCCTTTAACTCTGATCAATTGGAGGGAAGTCTGGTGCAGAGCCACTGACCCGTACGTGCTGCAGCTGAAACTCCACTATCGCCTGCTGCTGCTCTCAAAGTCTCATGAGGCAGTGAGCGGGAAGGCCGAAATTACGCTGCAGTGCAGACAGGCAAGCAGCAGCAGGGTGACAATGCCAAAAGCAGTGAATGTCACATCCTGACAGTGTCTGGGTCCTGGTCACCAGACTGCCCACCTCACTGTGAAACTACGAATGGATCGTTAAATTTGGTACGAACTCGAACTTTGCAGTTCGGGTTCACTCAAATCTATTATGGATCCTTCGATCGCTACATGAATTACTTGGATAACTGGTAATTCTCGAGCGAATACATGCTGATGAGCGCTAGGGGACAGCCGCTCCGCTTTTGCACCCTGCTCCCTCTTATGCTGTGCTGGTGCCTCTGTGCCACAGCGCCTCTTCCTCCAAACTGCACATGCCATTTGCATGACCTTGATTCCATGTGGGGTCTAGGACCTCATCATCCTCCACATCATCTTCCATCCACTCCTCAACCCTGCCCTCGCCGGTAGGCACACTGCAGAAAGCCACAGCAATTGGCACCTGTGTTTTTCCAGCATGTAAAGTCTGCAAAAGACATATGGAAATTGTTTTAGAATTTCCTCCAGGCAACAGTTTTTCCTATAAACTGACCTCTCAGTTTGTCTTGTGAGGGTATTGCCCCAGAATTACAATATTGTTGAAGTACCTCTTAGCTATTGATCACTGGTTTAAATATAGCAGCTTGTTATCTGGTAGTTTCTAGTGTAGAAAATATTAATCTGTTTTCTATCACTTAGATCTGTGTAACAAGTGTTGTAGGTGTGAAACAATATTACAAGTGACCGATGTAGTAAATTCGAATCAAAGTTACGCTTCAATTTGACTCTCTGATATGAAGTGAACACCCCAAATATACTGTTTAGCGCCCCCAAAAATAAAAAAATTTACTTTTTAAAACTCCAATGTAAGCAGCAGATTAGCAGCAAAACAATTAGAATGTTTACAAGTGCGCAGTAAGCACACTATTAGACGCTTCGATTTGACTCTCAGATATGAAGAACAGTTCCCAAAATGTACTATTTAGCAGATTAGCAGCAAAACAATTAGAATGTTTACAAGTGCGCAGAAAGCACACTATTAGACGATTCGATTTGACTCTCAGATATGAAGAACAGGCCCCAAAATGTACTATTTAGCAGATTAGCACCCAGAAAATAAGTGTTTACCACTGCGCTGTAAGCACGCTGTAGAATATTGCATATTCTATGTTTCTATTGATTATATATATATATGGATGTGTGGATTGACATAAGTAACAGATGGTATAAGTCACAAGTCTTTCTTTGTCTGAGAGCTCTGGAATGTAGATTTGGGGGTCTTGTCCTTATATGGCTAGAGTTAAACTCTGACGTTAGTATGAGCACTTCTATATAGTAACTGAACACGAGGTCGCTCTCTCTTTCAGCTCTCTCTGGCTCGTTCTCTATGTAAAGATGTAAGGATGTAACTCTCCCGTCAGGAGTCCAGCAATTACCATCTGCTGTTGAACATTCATTATCCTGTAACATCCTTTGTTGTTTTATTATGTATCCGTAACTAAGAATAAACCTGAAGAAACCGTAAGTCAGATTACGTATTAGTACTTTTCATTAATATAGACATATATTAATGTGGCGAGCATTACATTTGGCCCAAGACTATATATACAAAAGACATATATATATCAATCAACTGAAAACAAGAAGAAATTAATAAGATTTAACAGTGACAATCGATCCCAACCAGATTTTACATTGGCCAGCCAGCCAGTCTTCTATTCAGGTTTTGTTCCCACTTCAAGGGGGGAGAGAGAAGAATCAAGTTACAAAGCTGTTTTGGAACTGGAAAAACAAACTTGAAGAGAAAAAAAAGAATCTAGACTGCACAGAAGAACTGTGTTTGTAAGAAAAAGAAAGTTTTCAAATCACAAAGACTGTACAAGACTATTTTCTACAACTGAGACGAAAAGCACAAGATACAACGTGAATTCTAGAAGAAAGCACGTGGCAGAGATTGGCAATCATCCAGATCCAAGTTCAGAACTGCGCAGCTGTGTGGTTGAAGCAACGAATTAGACAGAAATAACTGATCTGGTAAAGCGTGACAGATCCTTGTGGCAGTAAATCAGGAAAGCATTCCTTCAGACAACTGGACATTGACTGTTGGAAATAGATTTTTCATCTGATCTGCAAACTGTGATGGAAGATTCTACAGAGTTAATTTGATACAGAAAATTAACAGACTTACAAAGAAATAAAAGGTTGACACTAACATACATATCAATTCCTAAATAATAATGAAGAAGAAAACAGTCAATGAAAAGTTATTTAACAGTTATGAGTGTATTAATACCAAAAGAGAGTACTTATAAATGTGTAACACATAAAGTAAAATTATGAAAGAATAGTATTATGAAGAGAACTATTACATTATGACCTATACATAGGATGAGAAGTATCAAAGACAGGGGTGGACTGAGAGCCTTTGGGGCCCCCGGGCAAATTTAGATCCCAGGCCCTTTGAAGGCCAAATATATGTGCATTAAATAAATGTTAAATATAATTCATAATACGGCATTCCTTTGGATGTGTATATTGTGAAGACCTGTGTATCAATGCATGTTTGTATTTGAGTCTGTGTGAATGCACTTGTGCATGTCTGGATGACATGTGCTTTTTTGTATATAGTGTCTGTGTGAATGCATATGTGACAGGTGACAGAGTGTGTGAGGGAGAAGGTGACAGGTGGAAGAGTGTGGGAGGTTGTGACAGGTGGCGGAGTGAGGAGGTAGCTGGTGGCAGAGTGAGGGAGGGAGGGGTTGAGTGGTGGCAGAGTGAGGCGGAGACACAGTGTGTGGGGGTGACTGGTGACAGAGTGAGGGAGTGGGTGACTAGTGACAGAGGGAGGGAGAGGGGGTGACTAGTGACAGAGTGAGGGAATGTTTGACTAGTAGCAGAGTGAGGGAGGGAAGAGATGACTAGTGGCAAAGTGAGGGAGGGAAGGGGTGACTAGTGACCCCATCCCTCTCTCTGTCACTAGTCACTCCCTCCCTAACTCTGTCACTGTGTCACCCGCTCCCTCACTCTGTCACTAGTTACCCCGTCACTCTGTCACTGTGTCACCCCCTCCCTCACTCTGTCACTAATCACCCCCTCTGTCCCTAGTCACCCCCTTCCTCACTCTGTCACTAGTCACCCCATCCCATTCTCTGTCACTAGTCACTCCCTCCTTAACTCTGTCACTGTGAAGGAAGGAAGGGGTGACTGGTGACAGAGTGAGGGGATGACTGGTGACAAAGTGAGGGGATGACTGGTGACAGAGTGAGAGAGGGTGTGACTAGTGACAGAGTGAGGAAGGGGGTGACTAGTGACAGAGTGAGAGAGGGAGTGACTAGTGACAGAGGGAGGGAGTGACTGGTGACAGAGTGAGAGAGGGGGTGACTAGTGACAGAGTGAGGAAGGGGGTGACACAGTGACAAAGTGAGGGAGGGGGTGACACAGTGACAGAGTGAAGGAGGTGGTGACTGTCACTAGTCACCCCATCCCTCCCTCTGTCACTAATCACCATCTCCCTCACTCTGTCACTAGTCACCCCTTCCCTCCCTCTCTCTGTCACTAGTCACCAGTCATCCCCTCACTCTGTTACCAGAGTGAGGGGGTGACTAGTGACAGAGTGAGGGGGTGACAGGTGACAGAGTGAGGGAAGGGGTGACTAGTGGCAGAGTGAGGGAAGGAAAGGGTGACTAGTGAAAGTGAGGGGATGACTGGTGACAGAGTGAGGGAGGGAGTGGGTGACCAGTGACAGAGGGAGGGGGTGACACAGTGACAGAGTGAGGGAGGTGGTGACTAGTGACAGAGTGAGGGAGGTGGTGACTAGGGACAGAGGGGGTGATTAGTGACAGTCACTAGTCACCACCTCCCTCACTCTGTCCCTAGTCACCCCTCCTTCTGTCACTAGTCACCCCTTCCCTCCCTCCATCACTGTCACTAGTCACCCCCTCCCTCTCTCTGTCACTAGTTACACCCTCCCTCTCTCTGTCACTAGTCACACTCTCCCTCACTCTGTCACTAGAGTAAGGGGGTGACTAGTGACAGAGTGAGGGGATGACAGGTGACAGAGTGAGGGAAGGGGTGACTAGTGGCAGAGTGAGGGAAGGAAGGGGTGACTGGTGACAGAGTGAGGGAGGGAGTGGGTGACCAGTGACAGAGGGAGGGGGTAACACAGTGACAGAGTGAGGGAGGTGGTGACTAGTGACAGAGTGAGGGAGGTGGTGACTGTCACTAGTCACCACCTCCCTCACTCTGTCCCTAGTCACCCCTCCCTCTGTCACTAGTCACCTCTTCCCTCCCTCTGTCACTAGTCACCCCCTCCCTCTCTCTGTTACTAGTCACCCCCTACCTCTCTCTGTCACTAGTTACCAGTCATCCCCTCACTCTGTCACCAGAGTGAGGGGGTGACTAGTGACACAGTGAGGGGGTGACTAGTGACACAGTGAGGGGGGTGACTAGTGACATTGAGGGGGGTAACTAGTGACACAGTGGGGGGTGACTAGTGAGGGGGGTGTCTAGTGACATGACACAGTGGGGGGATGACTCGTGACAGCGAGGAGGGTGACTAGTGACAGACTGAGGGGGTTGACTAGTGACACAGTGGGGGGTGACTAGTGACAGTGAGGGGGTGACTAGTGACACAGTGGGGGGTGACTAGTGACATTGAGGGGGGTGACTAGGGACAGTGAGGGGGTGACTAATGACAGAGTGAGGAGGGTGACTAGTGACACAGTAGGGGGGTGACTAGTGACAGAGTGAGAGAGGGGATGACTAGTGACAGTGAGGGAGGGGATTACTAGTGACACAGGAATTAGTGACAGAGTGAGGGAGGGGGTTACTAGTGACACAGTGGGGGGGTGACTAGTGACAGTGGGGGGGGTGACTAGTGACAGTGAGGGGTGATTAGTGACAGTGAGGGGGTGACTAGTGACAGTGAGGGGGGGTGACTAGTGACAGTGAGGGGGGTGACTAGTGACAGAGTGAGGGAGGGGGTTACTAGTGACACAGTGGGGGGGTGACTAGTGACAGTGGGGGGGGTGACTAGTGACAGTGAGGGGTGATTAGT